AGCTTTTAATAAATAATTATCTGAATCTCACACCCAAAGTTTGATGTAAAATGTATAGAAGTCCATTACTGTATATAGTAACTATTAAGTCTAATATACCCTCGTAAGCTAGTACTTTTTCCTTTGGGAAGATACCATCTGTGCAGTCTGCAATTCTGTTGAAGAAAGATGTTGAATCTATTTAATTATTCTTGAAAAATAATTTATTTCTGTGCATTTTTCCCCCTGCATCAAATTAAATTTGATTACGTAGATTAAGCATCATGAGGTCGGGCGTGGTTCCCTATTTTTTATTTTTTATTTTTTTGCTGGGAGTTTGCAACCCTATTAGTTAGGTTGCTTACTCTTTAAAATACAAGAATAGGGAGGATGGAGTAGGTTTAAGTTTATGTTGCTGAACTATGAAATATTTTGGGTGCTGTGTATTTTTTGCATACAGGTATAACAGAATAGCTTTAGTGTTTTGGTTTTTTTTAAACTTGAGTTTGAACTTATACAAAATGCAGCAAGATATTAAAAAAAACGTTTTATTGATTAAAAAACACACTATATCGGATTCATATCGGTATCGGCCGATATTCAAATTTATGATATCGGTATTGGTAACGGACATAAAAACGTGGTATCATGCCATCTCTAGTCTTTACTTTACAGTATAAAGTGCCATGAAATGGCCGGTGTTGAATTGAAAACCCAAATTCTGTCACCTAAATCTAACCTTACGGTTAATAATTCCCTTAGTTTCTATAAAACAGAGATAAGTAGCATGTAGAATATACTATACATAATGTATATGGATACATATGGGTATCTTTTCAGGACACAGAGAATTGTGAGCAGTCATTACTTGTCGAAAAGATGTTTTCCAACTTCTGCATCCACAGCACTCAAAGGGTCATCCAGGAGGTAGATGTCTGCATCCTCATACACAGCCCTGTAAAAATAAGTGCTTTGATTATGCCATATGAAGTAGAACAACTATAACAACAGCAGTGTGCATACCTGGAGGGTTAAAAAATTGCCTGAACATGTAAGTTTTTACTGCCTCTACCGAATTCAAATCTGTTGTACTAAAAATGGAACCTCTCTCCTGTGCATAACAATGACGTAACTGCTGTGACTGTCCTCGTACCTCGCCAGGTTTAAACGAGCTTTCTGTCCCCCACTGAGTGTGGCTCCTCTGTCTCCAATCAGTGTCAGGTCTCCATCTGGGAACATCTCCAGGTCCTGCACAAAATGTAGGTGTAACACAAATAAATGTGAATGCCAAAAGTAGGGGAACATTTTTGTCATTTAATAAATATTGGCAGTTTGGTTTTGTTCTTCAGAATATTAGCAAAATAGGCTATCCTGTACTATAAGCAAAGATGCAGATTCCAGGACAAGTATTAATGATC